TGGACTTCCCATGCCGCTGGGCTCCTTTTTCAACAGCAGTACAGGAATGAGCACATGCTGCAGCGTGTATATATATATATATATACACTTACATATGGTATGTATATATATATATGTGGCATTTTTATATGTGGTATATATATATATATGTATATATGGTGTATACATATATGTGTATATGGTGCATATATATATATATATATCTCTCTCTCTATATATATATATATATATATACATGTATGGTGTATATTGTATATATATATATATATATATATGGTGTGTGTATATATATATATATATGGTGTTTATATATATATATACATATATATATCTTACTATATATATATATATATATACTTATATACTTATTTTACGGTGTGTATACATATATATATATATATGGTGTGTATATATATATATATATGTAGGTAGATATATACTACAGACATACAGAATGCCACCAGGTTTTTTATGAACACGCCTCCATGAACAAGGCCATTCAAAACCAATTTCAATGTCTTGGAGTTGGAATCGGGCGACATCTCGTACTGAAAGGCACCATCCTACCAGCAGTGACTTTAGGTCCGGACCTTCCTGGGACCTTCAGAGGTTGAGCCGAATTGGCATGCGTGGTCGGAGCCCGTGGGCAGCCAAGTATGTCCAGCAATGGGTGTCGGTCCGGAGGAAAACTACATGTGAGGGCATCCGGCTGAGACTGCAAGGTGCGATCCCGCAGCTTGCCTGCTCTGGCAATGTGATATGACTTGGTGCCAGCTATAGCTATGCAATGCAGATGAGCAGCTGGATTTGAGCATCATAGTCCTTGCGCTTGTCCTCGTCTGAGAGCAAATCCCAGGCATCGTTGAGCAGTATGCACATCTCCTGTCTTGGGGCACGAAGTAGCTGAGCTAAACCTGGAATGCTGCTCGACTCAGTCGTCCCGTCTGTCCTCCCCCTCGGGTCCGGCGACGTCCGGGTGGCACAACCTCGCGGCACGCGGAGCGATGCGGAGCGGTCCCTGATAGGAGAATGCTCTCAGGTCCGGGCTTCTGCAAGTCATAGTACTTCCTGACAGCAACGATGCAACTTATAACAACTTCGCGTATTGCTCATCTCACTCAGTGCAGCCAAAGCGCTTCTTGATCTCCTTCTCATCAGCCCTGTTTGTTGTCCCGAAAAGCTCCTGAGATGCAGAGGATTCAACGGCTTCATGCCCTTCATCGCCCAACGAGGACCGCACGTACAGGTCCACCGGAGCACTAGTCGCAAGGCCCACCTGCGCAGCATTCTCAGCAGCACTCACGGTCACGAGCCTCATCTTTGCAGAGGAGGCATCTCCAGCCTCGCTCTCCGGCGGAATGGGGACCTTGGTGGAGCCAAGATCCAAATCTTCGGGCAGATTCAGTGTGCGAATACGTGCGATGCCTTGATGGTTAAGATTCCTCTTCTTGTGCGGTCAAGCAACGTCACGCTGGACATCCTGCTGCCTCCTTTCGCAGCTCACCTCTCGGCGGTTGTCCCACCTGCCACTGTCCAACACCTACGATATCCGACGACCTCCCAGGCAAGAGACCAAAGCCGGTGCCTAGAACCGGCGAAGAGGGAGCCGGCCCCAACGGTTGCACTGGCTGTGACAGCGGCGACCCCGGCAAGGAAGAGCTGGGGCGCCTGAGTTTCCAAACAGCCTTTATCTTGCAAGCATGTCAATGTACAGAAGTACATGCACGGTTTTGACTTAAACACTCGCACACCTTCTCGGAGCCAGCCAGCAGACATACCATACCGTTACCTTGCTTGTATATGGATGGTCAGGGACTTGCCTCGATGAGGGTTTGGGAGAGCGTGTGAAGCTTCATGGACAGTTAAATGGAGTTAGATACCTTTCAATACCTTTCGAGCATGACAACACCCGCTGCTGCCTCTGTCACCACCACCCCAACGAAACCGCTACATCTGGCATCAGCAAGAAATATCGGGAAACCTTTATAAACTCAAGAACATCATCACCTCGTACAACCTCGCATCGCACGGCAGGCGGCCGAGCCGGAACTGCTGGTGCCAGGCCCGGCGAAAGCCGGGGGTGGTCCTGCCGGGATCCTGCGCTGCGGGCACGTGGATTGACGACTCCGAAGGCTTACGAAAAGCTGGTTAACAACTCCGAAAGGACCTTCAGAGCTGCAACTTCAGACCCCTAAACCCTACCACGCACTGGTTTTTCCCATTACAGCCGAGGATGGCACAAATGAAAACACTTGGGCAGTTTCTTGGGAAGACAGCTTCCAGTTTAGCCGAAATTTATGTTCTAAGTGTTCTTGGCATTTGCTGGGTCCGCTGACCTGGAGTTGTGACACACAAACACACGCATCACACTTTACACCTCGCAAGCTCTGAAACTGAAGTCTAGTCCGGAACATATGCAGGAGTCCTCTGCAGGGAGATGAGGGCCTCTGCGGTCAGTTGCAGCAGGTGGTTTTGGGCTTGGGGTTTTGCAAAAGCGTCTTTGCAAGCTGGGGCCCAGCACTTGTTGCTGCTCTACGCATGTGGGTGTAATGCGCTGATTGAGACTTACAGACATATGTAAATGTATGCATGTGCACGCATGCAACTTGCACGAGCGCGTATACATACTTATGTATATACGTATGTAAAGACATACACACATACACACAGACACAAACACTCACCTGCATGCATAAGTCAATACATCCATCCAACCAGCCATCCATGCATGCCAGCACACGTACATACTTACCTGTATACATCCACAAGAACCTGCAAGTAAGTAGATAGCTCAACATGTCTGTATGCATGTGGGTTTGGGCTGTGTGGGTACATAATATGCGTGCATGTATGTATGCACATGTGTATGCATGCTGCATGGATGTGTGTAAGTCTGTCTGTTTGTCTGTCTTCCTGGCTGGTCGTCTGTCTATGTATGTATGTATGTACGTCTATCTGTCTGTCTGCATGTTCAACAGAGCGCATGCATAAACCGCACGCGTGCACGCATGCATAGGCACATACAAACCTACGGATGCCGACAGATATGCACGCATATCAGAAACTTTCACGCTTGCATTTCATTTATATCGCCGGCCTGTGTGGGGCTGCGAAGTGATGCCCGGATCGCCAAAGCAGCCGCTGTCGCACAGAGAATAGCGCCTTAGTGAGTCGAAAGTACCCCATAAGTAACGGCGGCGGATCGGCCAACAATCGCTGTAATGTAGCCTGGCCAAAGGCGTCAACTACAGAAATATCTAGAAACCCATGTCATGAAGCTGTAGTCCTCACGACTCAAGCATGCTCAACCCGAGGTTGGACGTGAGACACGACTCTCAGATGGCCAGGAGGCTCTGCGGTTTCCAGCGTCGCGAAAGCGGAGCCATAGCTCACCAATGGAAAAAGGCTGGCGTTCTTCGCTCTGGGAGCGTTCCGGCTCCTGCCCTTACTCGACCGCGGTCTCTCTGCAGGCCCGGTACATGATGTGGCTCGGCTGTACGTAGTTGCCGGTTGCCCGTTTTTCTACTGCTGTCTTGAGTGCAACATGGCATGGCTGTCGCGCTATCATGAGATCTCTTGGAATTTGGCTGCATCAACAGAATCGCGACAAGAACCGAAGAAAGCACACTTTCTAGGGCAGGTATGAAGCATGCCGTCCACTCACAAGAGTCCATGATACATCGTGATACCACTGGGCAACCCAAGCTCCTGAAAATAAGAACCCATCATGCTCACTCGCAACAGCCACAGCTCTCTCTGTCTGGGGGGGAAACATTTGCGGCTGAAAGGTCTGCGGAGTGACATACGAGACGACGCACCTAGGGGGCACAGATGGCATTGAACCGGTTCACGAGTCACAAGCACATGTTCGAGGCTGCTGCCTCGTTTACGTCACAGTGCGCTCCACGGCGAACTTCGGTCAGAAGTCCTGCAGTAGTGATGACCACCTCGGTCACAGGCCAAGTGAGCAAGACGAGGACTCCACACCACTCCTCATTGTGAACGACGTAACCGACGCTTCTCATGACAGCCCGCAGCTGCAACAGTTCATGCAAATTCGCCGTGGTGCCCCATACAGACTTCAGCCGCTTCTAAAGCCACACTCGGACAAGCAGTCGTCTGCTGCCAGCCGGCATCTTCATCGTTGAGCTGCTTGGTGACTTTCCAAAGATTCTCTGCCTGTCCACAACATGTCCGCTCTTGCAGGGATTGCTGCACGAAGGCTGACATGATCATGAGAGACTGCCTGAACCTGTCGCTTCCCTTTCCAGTCCCTGGACGAGACCAGGAAGGAAGCACTGGCCACCGCGGAAGCATCCATGTCGTCGTCCTGGAAGGCTGTAGAGGAGCTTACGGCAACTCACATGCCACCCTTTCGAGCAGGTTTTCTACAGTCAGTCCGAATGTTTACATGTTTCTTTTCAGGAACCGGCCCCCGCCCCGAGGCAGTGTCCCAAGCCGTCACAGCGCTGGTTCTATGTCCCTGTGGCCTCCTCCAGGTTTGGACAGGTCGAAGAGGGGTTTACCTCGACCGTCTACTGTAAGGGTTCTATATCGGGGTTTAGTGGGTAGGGAAACGGTATCCATAAGGGCTCTACAGGGTTTAGGGCTTTGAGTAGAGTAACCAGAGGTGAGAAGCATGCGGCAATCATGCCAAGATCTTCAAGGCAGGGTCTCAGCGTGGGACAGCCGGGAAGTTCGGGGGCAGGCTGATCACTCGGCACCTGGAGATGCTGTTAGGGTTAAGGGCTTAGGGTCTAGAGTAAACCGAGCTTCAGAAATACTTGCCTCAACAGCCGCCGGATCACCAGGAGACAGTACGACTACGAAGCCATTGATACTTGATTAGGGCGATAATTGCGACTACGGCTGCTTCTTTCCTTCTCCTGCTCCTGCTCCTGCTCCTGCTCCTGCTCCTGCTCCTGCTCCTGCTCCTGCTCCTGCTCCTTCCTGCTCCTGCTCCTGCTCCTGCTCCTGCTCCTGCTCCTGCTCCTGCTCCTACCCCTACCCCTACCCCTACCCCTCCTCCTCCTCCTCCTCCTCCTCCTACTCCTACTCCTACTCCTACTCCTACTCCTACTCCTACTCCTACTCCTACCACCACGACTACCGCTACTACTACTACTACTACTACTACTAGTAGTAGTAGTAGTAGTAGTAGTAGTAGTAGTAGTAGTACTACTACTACTACTACTACTGCTGCGGCTACTACTACGACGACGACGACGACTACTACTACTT